GAAAGGATTCTCCTGCAGAAGTCCCAGATTGATATTGTGGTGAACGCATTAGAGTGTTAAAAAATAATAAAAATAATAAATTAAATTAAGTAAGTAAGTAAGTAAGCTTTATTTATATACCGCCTTTCACAGACCAGAGTCACAAAGTGGTTTACAATTGTTATTTTTTGGGCACTTGTCCTCTCACTCCACACAGAGATGGGAGCGGGGTCGCCGAACAGGAGGCGCATGCCAGAACTTTTTTAGTGGTAGGGGAAACCGGAGTACCCGGAGGAAACCTACGCAGACACGGGGAAAACATGCAAACTCCACTCAGAAAGGCCCTGGTCCGGCCGGGATTCGAACCCAGGACCTTCTTGCTGAGAGGCGAGAGTGCTATCCACTCAGCCACCGTGCCGCCCAAATTAATAATTTATTTCTATGATGACACTTGTTTTAACCTGCCTCGCTTGACTGCACATCCTTGGTTTCAAACTCTGTTTTCAAAAGGATTAATCCATAGTTTTTTCTCAAAAAGCGCATAATGGATCCCTGTTGTACTATAAGTCCAATAATAATGTTTTTATTATTTTATATTATATTTAGGACAGTGTGTATCAATGAACAGCATAATATATGTATGTAAACACACCAGATTGTATCTTTTTTAGTGCTGTAATTAGTTACTTTGGCTGGTAATTATAGTAACATAGTACTGATCCATTGGTGATCCAACCAATGGGGAAAAAATATTTATTTTTGATGACAGATATTTTACTGATCCAGTCTTCACTCACCTTTTCCATATACTATCACTTGTGCTCCTGATAATCACCATCTGCTTGATATCACAGATTCACTGATTGGCTGATTGTACTTCCTGTGTTTCTGCAATGCCTAACTCCTCCACTCTCTGTTCCATAATTGTCATTCCTCGTCTGTTTCAGTTCTTGTCCTCGTTCCCTGTGTTTTTGCTGAATTTGGATTTGTTTTACTTTTTATTAAATCCATTATTTTGCAGTTTTGCATTTTGGGTCTCCTTATTTTTCACCCACGTGACACACCAGCCTTGTTTAGACTCCGGCCCACTTTTCATGCAGACCTGCACCCTCTGCTTCTGTGCGTAAAGCAGGGCAAATGCAAACACTAGGAGTTTGTCAAAACAAAGTCCTCATTGAAGCCCAAAACAACAATGCGAGTGTACAATCAGGAGGCAATCAGGAGTTCTCTTTTATCTCCCCCTTTCTCCACTAGCGGAAAATGCTCTATGAATAAGTTGCCTCATCCCTGCATTTGAGTGACAGAGAGTGAAAGCTCACATCGCGTGGACTCTTGAGTATAAAAGTCATAGTTGATTACCTCACCAATAATCAGTAATTAGATTGACATAGTTTTCACGGATACATTTTTTTCTAAAAATGAAGATATGCTTCTCATTGTTCTTCAAGCGATTTTAATGCTGTGGGTTGAGCTAGCACAGGGGGACACATCTTATCACCAGTGCGAAAAACTTTTGGAGGTCACCGGAGTGGCGGATCTGGGACAGACCTGAGTGGAACGGACACTGGGGAATGGAACTGCTGCCATTCATTACAAGGCAGCCCCATGTGCTGCAGTGGTGGAAACTGAGCAGAGTAGGTGTATGAGTAGGTGTATAAAATGTTATCCCCACCAACGCAACAAGTTAGTCTGGAGTTGGAGACCTGGAGCTTATAATACTTAAGTGAAATAAATTCACTGAATAATATTTATTTATATAATGCACACATGTATAAATGTGTATGTTAGAGATTATTATTTTTTATAAATAGTTCATAATATACCACTAAAATCATTATGTATAAGCCTATTTTATATGGAAGGCTATTTATGTAGTTTTAATTCCCTGTAACTTTTCTGCTAAAGAGTAGACACATTTAGCAGTCTTACAGGACTGTCATATCAGGGCGGCACGGTGGCTGAGTGGATAGCACTCTCGCCTCTCAGCAAGAAGGTCCTGGGTTCAAATCCCGGTCGGACCAGGGCCTTTCTGAGTGGAGTTTGCATGTTCTCCCCGTGTCTGCGTAGGTTTCCTCCGGGTACTCCGGTTTCCCCTACCACTAAAAATATGTCCAATAGTTCTGGCATGCGCCTCCTGTACTGGCGACCCCGCTCCCATCTCTGTGTGGAGTGAGAGACAAATGCCCAAAAATTAACAATTGTAAACCGCTTTGAGACTCAGATCTGCAGTGAAAAGGCGGTATATAAATAAAAACTTACTTACTTACTTACTTACAGTTAGCTGTGTGCACTTTTGACTCTTCAGCTCACTGTCAGGGGATGGGGGCTGGCATCGGGTCCATAAGTACTGAAATCCCATGCTATAAGTTGTTTGATACTTGTTGAGTTTCTAGTGTCAACAGTATTTCAATGTATGTACCTATTTTTTGACAAACCTGATTGTCATTCTTCCATTTCATTCAAAGTGCACAATTGTGACAACTGTCACCCTAATGGCATTAGTGGGAGAATTCTATCATGGTATATCTTGTCTTTTTTTTTTATATGTTGGTTTCTATTAACATTAAGGCCGATATATATACTCTGTAGTGGATGTCTCTTTCTTTCAATATAAGTTGTGAGAAAGTTGAAAAGGGGCTGTATATAGGTCATGCCCAGTGCTTCATTTTAATGTCATATTTACAGCATGGGCCTTCCTCCATTTGGCCTGATCAATTGAGTTGGACATTTAGTCTGCTCTCATTTGACTGATTCATTGTGTCCACTGAGCTGTTAAAAACCAGAATGTACAGCCCAGCCTTCCCGACTATACATTCAGAGCACAGAGGTCATAGATGTATGCATAAAGCAAGTTGTGCTGTTGCTTTATCTTCTACAGGAATCTATGGAGGCCATGTGGGTGTTTGGAACTTGTCAGCGGGCACATATGTGTGGTCTGGAGGCTATGGCGAGTCATAACATAAAGTTGACAGGGGGCTAGGGAGATTTAGGGCAAGGTGCCAAGAAAACCAAGAAACACGCACACTTGTACACGCACAGATACAAGAACTGCCCCGATCTCCAGGGACATCTGCTCCGGTCCGGGTCACTGGCAGCGAGTGCACGGTCGGCCTCAAAACTATCACCACGGCAACTGCATCACATAATCCCATTCCATCTCGTCCCATCCAGGAAGCATGTGCGACGTGATTGGCCCTTTTCCCCTGGGGCGCTCAGACGACTCGGGGCTCAGGCGCTGTCTGCTTACGCGCTGTGTCAGCTCCAAGTCTGTGGGCGGGAAGCGGCACATTAAAGGAGTGTTTGGCGCTTTTTGGCAGGAGACTGAATTATGCAGACGCACCCCTACTGTGCAGCTGTGTCTTAAACCCACTGTATGTGTGCTGAGGGGCTCAAGTGTGGATAAAACAAACTCCAGTTTTCCTACTTGGTTTTCGTACTAAAAAACTGAAATTTAAGTTGTATGCAGTTTGGAAAATTTAAAATGAGAATTACACATAACATTTTATAACTTATAATTAATTATTTTTTGTACATTAGATACATTATTTACTTGATACTTCTGATGTTCCTAAATGTTCCTAAAGTCGGAAATGTACTAAATTCTTATCATTTATGTTTTAATCTGTTGATGCCAGCAATTCCTCAAATTTGAAAGGATTTATGGAAAATGGACTGTGATGTGGAGTGATGTGTTCATTAACATGTACTGTCCCAACCAAATAAACAATAAAATAAATAAAATAAAATAAATAAATGGTAAGAAGAGGCCACTGACGAAGGTGGAATTTACCGCTGAAACATGTAATCAAGAATCTTTACACTTTTGTCTTTATTAAAAGAACCTTCTAAACCTTTAACATAAAATACATAATGCATTTTTTTTTACATTTAATAGGCCAAAGAGATGACATTATTAACTGACAATGACTACTGTTCCCATCAATGTGGTGCATTTGTGACCATTGTCATTTGATGTATTACTGTGTATGTATTTCTCTACTATCGGGTTTTTCAAATTAATTTTGTGTCCTTTTTTTTCTTGACTGATCAGTATTGTGTATTTTGTTTATCCATATGTGTATCTATTATAATATGATTGTGTTGTGTGCGGTTTATTTTGTGAAGTTTCAAACGTTTGCTTTGTTTTTAGAATGAAGAGAAACACATGTACAGCAATACAGTGTTGTTTTTATAACTAGAATTACAACAGATGACTGAAGTGTGCAGAATTACTAAACTTTTTTCCCATTTCATTTGTTCATTTTGTCATTCATGATCTATGTATGATTTATAAGACTGTCCTTGCAATATGTTGTTGATAATGCAATGATAAAATGTCTAGTCTAGTGATGTAGTGTTCAGCCTATTTGCGCAGAAGAAAATAAATTGCAGCAGATAAGGTCTGTTTTAAAACAAATGACAAAGGGGGGGGGGGGAAACAAAGATTTGTGTGATGCAACTTTATTGTTCTCTTATACAATTGTCCATCTCCTCTGCTTTCTATTTATCTGACTCCACACCCCAGCTCTGTGTTGTTGAAATGCATAAACCCAATCGGAAATATAACACCCATGACAGTTTGCATCTATTTTTCTCCCTCACCCACCTCCTTTTCTTCCACCATCTTCTTGTATTCTATCTTGCTTCAGCTGTCAAGAGGCTTCATTATTAAAGATTCATGGTCGACTGTGGGCAGCTCTTTCAAAAGCTTTTGTCAGACTAACCAAGTGTCTCAAATCACAGAGGCCTTAAGTGGAGGTGACATAAAGATTCGCATAGACCTATATTCACTGAAGGCACACACGCATGCTAGATGTGAATACATTCTTGACAAGCAGCCCAGTGTATTAAATCATCTCCAAAATGGCATTAGAAAATGTGTAACATGGCTTCAATCTGCTGTATTTGTGCTGTCAACACTGATTTCTCACTCTTTTCATGGTGGATCCTTGTTTTTCGAACACCAATTGTTCTTCACCAACAAACTAATTATGTTCCTTTTTTCCTTTTTGTTTTTACAGAAAGGCCCAAGAACAACAAAAGAAAGTGGTGGTGGCAGGTTGTGTACCTCAAGCTCAGCCAAGAATGGATTACCTCAAGGGACTCAGCATCATAGGGGTATGTTTTTTTAATATTCAGCTATTTCAGCTAACAGACGGTAATTGGATGTGTACAGTGGTGTATTGTCGAGGTGTGCCCATTAGTTGATGCTGACTGAAGCCAAGCATCACACATACACACGCTCAGTTTGACCTGTCATTCACCTGGCTGCCTGCCTGCTACATTTGTTCTGTTCTTGCCTTCCAGCTGTGAGGCCGATCAATACAGCTCCCTTTGAGACTCCAACAAGACCACGGAAATGAACACAGTTTGGTCTGCAAGTTTTATTGGAGAGGAGTTAGCCACAGTTGTACCAACAATAAGCCTCAAGACAAGACATTAGGTCCAAGAGAAAAAATAGAAAAAATTGAAAACATAGAATTCTCTACTAGGAATTCTAGCTACAAAAATTTGGATCAATACGTGATATATTTTGTGTTTTCTCAAGACCACTATTCAGCTGTCTTAATATTTTAGTTGGCATTAGGGGTTGAAAATATCCTAAAATGTTTGCCTAGAAAATACAGAATATTATTGTATATGCTGCACAATGGAACAGTTCAAGAAGTAAAATTCCCTTGTCAAAATCCCTTTTGGAGGCTAACTAATTTGTATCTACAATACACTGATTATGCTTTCAGCCAAATCACAAATGAAACATGAAAAACATGCTTTACACTAAAAAGCTGATCAGGAGGGTCAGCTAGATACCTTTATTGTACCTAAGATGCCTTACATCGTATTTATTTTGCACATCATCTGACTATTTGCACACCCTGAGTAATCTTATTGAATCCAAATGTAACATTTATCTAATATGAGATCAATAAAGAGCATTTTATCTTGTCTTAAATATTAATGTAGATCTTATCTCCCTAACATATCACCCTAACATATGCCCATATGCCTTAACCTTAAACCTCCCCCTATGCCTAATCCTAACCTTAACTCTAACCCTGATCCTGCTCTAACCCTAAACCAGTGAAACATTGATTCACGTCAAACAACTTTGACATTGATCCTGGACTGTTTCTTGTTGATATCAGATACCTATGAGTGATTCAGCATGTTGTGATGAAAGAAAATCCTCTGGAATTATTTGAAACATGTGATTTTGACAATACCTGGCACCTTTATTAAGTTTTTAATAATTTGTTTTTCACAAATTAAATCAAACTTCAATACATGTGAAATATTCCCTTAAAATTAGTGGTCTGCTTGGGAATACTCATCCTTGAATGTTATATTATTCCACTTAAAAACCTTTTGTATTGTATACAAAAGGTTTTTGTATATTGTGTTTTTGTGATTTGTGTTGGCAATGTCTCTAATGTTAAATATACATCAACATAAATGATATGGTGCTATTTAAGTTAACATTTCATACCGAAGCATTATTATTCAAATGAACTAGCATGTACGAGTAATATAATTACATCCACACACACAGGCGGGTAGATTAAATCGCCTTGGGTAAGTAGAAACAGCTGGGAAGTTTACCACCGCCAGAGCTTCCAGCATCATGAGTAGATTGGATCATGCATCGATACAACTTGCACCAGCGCAAACACTGATAGAGCCATGCATGATAAGACACACATAGTAACAAACACAGACAGATGCATGCACTGCTGTTGTGCGTCCCTACTTGTTACAATCAACCAACACAATGACACTGACAGTTGGTGGTTTATGCAAATGATATGCAAACAACCAGTCATGAATTTGTTTAAAGCGATTGCACTAACGGCTAGTTAAGGGCTGTGCTTGGAGAAAGTATTTCCTGTTCAAACCATTCATTCCAATGACCTTTGAGCCAGCCTTGGTGTGCTTCTTCTCTGTTGTGTTGATCTGTCTGGTGTTCAGCAAAATGAATGCAAGAGCCATGTACACAGGCAGTCACGCAAACCAGAGCTCGAGTGCACTCAACATGTCACATCCTGTGTGGTTGGATGCCTGTTGTCTGCACTCTACTATACCGGTGAGGTACAGGCAGCACAAACAGCCCTCCAAGAAATCCACTGCTCTATATAGGCCTAGGGTCTGCTGCTACTCAATCTCTTTTTACAGTGTCTAGAACTTGGGCTGTGACCTGGAGATAGTTCTGATTACTGTCCAGTGCTACTTCCAGTAATCACCAGTGAGCGCAACTGCTTTTTTTTTTCTCCAGCGCCTGCCCTACCTTACATCCCTGATACAGCGCACACCTCTTCTGAAAGGTGCATGCATAGGGGGCCGCTGGACTTATTTCAGAACTAGAAGCCTCACGGCCAGGCACTCGTCAGCCCAAATTATGACCCACACATATTTCTCCTGTAAGTGACGCAGCTTTCAGTTGAATTATACAGGAGACATGGTTGTGTTAATGGTTTTTGGCACTAGATCAGCTCCACTTTCAAAATTATAAATCTAGGCACACTCTGTATCCAGCTAATATATAATATTAGCAGATATAGAGCAGAAAGTGTAACTCCTAAGTAAAACTTGAAATATCAATTTCCCAATGTTCTTTCACCTGTGACTGAATTTGTTCATTCATCTTTTCATTTTATCTGTTGAAGCCTTTCTTGTCACTCTGCCTCCACTTTGTAATGCATTTCCTAATATGGATTCACAGTGACATTTAGGAAATTGGTATCACTTAAGCCTGATCTCGGAATTTTTTTTTCTTTTTCATCCATATTGGAGTATGTTTACAACCCCCTTGTTTAAATCAGTGTTGTACTTTGTCAATATCAGAGTTTGGTTTGGGTATAGGGACAGCAGCATCAATAAACCTCTCCCATGTGTCTTTGTTTCAGGTCCAGCAGATTGATCGAGTGGTGGAAGTTGTGGACGAGGCTGTTAAAGGTATTTTAAAACACACACAGGCAGGCCCATATTGATCAACTCGTGAGTGAATAATTATCTCTACTATTTGCTGAATACATAAGTCATGTCCAGTAAGCCTTGAGTTTCAAATTAAACATACACGTATGTTTCATAAAAAAAGTTTTGACGCTCAGCACATAGACTGTATATATTAATGGACAGAGTCACGCCTATCTCCGCCGTTCTAACTAATGGGCCAAAAAATGTGCTCTACTGGAGCAATCCAAGACCAATCCTGACCCTAGGATCTCAGTGTGGTGCTATTGGAACGTTCAAGTATCCATCCATCCATCCATTTTCTACCCTTTAATCCATTTCTGGGTCAGGGGGGGGGCAGTCAGAGATGCCACCCAAGTCTCATAGCACCAGCCCCACGTTCAAGTATCAATTTTTATTTAATCGCCAGAACACACCAGCACACACTTACATCCTGCTTGTCTCCGCTCGCTCTGCTCATACGCCGGCCACACTTTTAATTCTCATTCATTCATTTCTCAGTGCTCTTGCGCTCGTTACTAAAGAGTGGGTGTGTGTGCATGCACTCGTGTCCGCGGCGCGCACACACACACAAGTGTGCACACACATATTACTCACTGAACTGCTGCACTTTGCACCAGAGCAATATGGACAAGTGTGAGATGTGTCTTTCCCTAAACAACGCAATCCGTACTGAGCGGTTAGCTACAGTAGCAGAGCGTAAACAGGAAGAGACACGGAAACTCAACCAGGACAACAAGATAGTCGCTGGAGTTAGTATTAGCGCCACCAGCTGGACCGAGTGGTGTACTACAGCACAGTTTCTCTGGCATGTTTGTGAAAACAAAGCCATTTTCACAACCCTGTGGCGACAATCCAGGCCACTTGGCCTAGTTCGTTTGTAAAAACCTTTGTGACCGTGCCCAGAGAAAGCATGCCATTGTCAAACTTGGATGGAAAATCATGCCTAAAACTCCTGTATTGCTGTACTCACCAAATCACCTTTTAACCAGCGTCTAGTGGCTATCCACTCATCACATAGCCTTATGTGGTTTTGTCAGTCATATTTTGATAAAAAGCTAAACTGCATGAGTCGTTTTTTATTAAGGCTTCAATGAGCCTTGTGTGTTTTCGCTTGTGATTGACTGCCATCATTTGCTGCTTTGCATTTCGGTGTGCATTGGGCTTTACACCTCGAGAATATCTCTGAGAAAGGTATACCTTAGTTATTACCATTATTTTGTGAAACCTTCATGGTTTTGTTGTCCGCGTAATCTTATTTTTGTTTTAAAAAAAACAATACACCACTACTCAATTCAGCATTTTCCAAGGTCCTTCTGGTAAGTGCTTGCATACCATGCAGGGTTTGGAAACAGGAAATCAGGGAAATTCAATGACAAACCAGCCTTCTCTCTTATAACTCCTTCTATCCAACATGAATTTAGGCGGCGCGAGAAGCTAGGGAAAAAGCAAGTTTAGAATGCATTCTTAAAAAGTGCATTTGAATATAACCTTTCTGGGGCTTACCTTCTCTACTTTATTAGTTGCTGCTAAGTGATTTTCCCTGTCAGAGTAGTTCACTGACTCACATGGTTGTGATTTGGTCAATCATTTAAAGCCGACCAGTGCACTTAATAGTAACAGTATGACAGTGTCCAGTCAAGCTGTCATACTGTCATCCAGCTGTTTCTTAATAAAGAACAGATTGACCATAGAGTCTGTGTTGGTTACTAATGAAGGACAGATGAACGAGGCTTTGATTTTTACACTGCATCATTAACCTGTGCATATTCCTCCTGTTCACTTGGTCTATAACTGAATAATGTACTTTTGATGTTCTCCACTCCTGAGTCTTTCCTTGGGTCGTTGTTGTGTAATCTTATTTCCCCTTTTCCAGTCCCTGTTCCTTCTATAGCCTCTTTGCTCCCTTCGTGGAAACTAATTTCCCCAGTATCATTACAGTTCTTTATGACCTCATATAAACTGAGAGCTGTTATTTCAGCTCTGAGGCCTGGGCATAAACCTTCAAGCCCCAGGATTTGCCTTTTGTAATGGCTACTAAAATACTTACTGCAATGAACTGCTAATAGACATGTTTCTTAACTGCACCAAAAATGCTTGCAGGTCTGTTATCCACATGACAAGCAATAGCATCCCTATACAAGCTTTTTCTTGAGGTGTGAGTAGCCGTACATTTGGTTTTCTGGCTCCAAATGAGCTTAACTACTGTGACTCTATAAGCATTTGACAATACCACACAGCTGTTTAATCATTCTATCGTCCTGAACATAAAGCTCAAGTTACTACCTGTTGTAAATGCTATCTGCTTATCGTTTAGTTATCTGAGATTGTGGCGCTGACTGAGCATGCCAACGTTATTTTACATTTACAGGACACATTTATTCCAACAGCATTACACTTTATCTGTTTGTCTTTGCACCAACATATGTCCTTTTGGTTGGTGTTGCTGCAGTGATGCACATTCTTCCTCAAGTGATTTTCCAATTGTATATTAAACTCTCGCAGATGTTAGTTTTCTTACCAATTAAAATCTTTCATTACAAAATTAAATATTTTCCTGATCTGAGAGTGAAATGCTTTTCAACCAATTCTCACTGTGTTTTTATTCATGATGGCATTATTAAATCACATTTTCTTTGTCATTTACTGCAGCAATGGCATTTCATCTGATGTTCATCTCCCAAACTGAATGTGTCAAACATATCAATGTTTAGAAAATGTTTAAAAAGTTTAGACATACTAATATATCTACTTACCCAGAGATCAGAGTCATACAGCATCAATATAACCTTCTGATCCTTCTTTCATAAAGAGTGAAGGTTTGAGAAGAATTGTCTCTGCTGTTTCAAAGCAGACAGTCAAAGACCTTGGTTTCACATCTTCAAAGCAATAAACTGAAGACTTTTGACAGTGCCTCTGTAACTTAAATCTCAAATGAAATACTGAACCCAGCCAATCGACTTATGACACAATACGTTTATATTTGGTACAGGCTGAGAAATGTAGTGTGGTTATTTATTTTTTTCCTCCCAAAGGACACTTTTCATTGAAAGTTTATTTTGACCATACACAAAGCTCTACAATAAGGGAAATAGATTGCTTCTGAAGGTTCCTTTCTTCTATGACTAAGTCTGTCATTGTCAAATATTCATGCATGAATGGCACTGTTTTATGAGATCCTTTATTCGTCCCACAGTGGGGAAATTTCAGGCACATTGTGGTTGTTCTCCACTCGATCAGTGGAATTGATCCTTCTAGCATTTGGCTGTTGCATTCTGGTTGTGGCCCATCTCTTTCTGTCAGAACAAAACACATCCATGTACTAGCCGTGTAGTGGTGGGCTGCCTTCGTATCGTCCTGTCGCCGCACTCCCATCCCCCTCGGGTGCTGCCTGCTGCTTTACAATCAGAGCGGGAGCACGGGCAGACCCAGCACTTATGAGATATCACACGCAGGTCACCGGGTCATCCTTTTAGCTCCATGCCTCTTTCATCCAGCCATCCATCTGGTCATCCTATAGATCTTTCATTTCTGATGTGTTTTTTTATCACCTGACCATCCATCCATGCACCTTCCTATCCAACTTCCCCCACTTTTCTTTACTGTGTTTTAATGGGCTGTTATGACTGAGTGGGGGAATTTATTGTCTACTTGTGTTTTTAAGCGAAAGTGCCACTGAATCATAAAACATTTATATGAACAACCACACATCAAACGTCAAGTTACTCTTTCACACACAAACTTTCATAAATACTGATTTCTATTTTGGAAGTTTTCCTATTTCCTTCCTGATATAGGTTATTGCAAGCAGTCATGCCTCAGTGATTGGCTCGGTGTCCTCCTCTGGGGCAGATTGTCACTTTTATCTACCAATTGATAGCCTTGCTTCCTGCCCTGAGCCCTCCTTCCCCAGAGACCAGTGTAAAGCGGATGAAAACAGGAAGGCAATTCCATCCCTTGGCACCCATCCCTTGCACACCCCAGCTTTAGAGGTCCACAACCTGTTAAACGTGAAAGTATAGCCACGACTGAATTGTATTTCTACACAAGAGTCAGGCCTTTAATCAAGATTTAAGATACAAAAGTTGAGTTGCCAGCCAAGGCCAAACAGTATAATGCTCAAACCTGACTTGTGTATTAATTGAAAAGTGGTAGTTAAAGGACGGAACAACAATGTCAATGTTGCTTTAAGTTTAATGACATTATTTGAATGTCAAATGCAGCCACATTTGTTTTGTGGTGAAACGGCACATGTAAATGTCTTTTTATATGTAAGTAATGTTTGCTTTTACACAAATACTTCCTTGGTTTTTTCTTCAGTGCTCTATTTAAAAGTGATAATGTCGGTTTATATTCTAATGTGTGTGTGTGTATTGTTTCCCAGGACATTCAGTTCGTCTGCTGGGTCAGAAAAAAGGAGGAGGCCGAAGGCTTGGAGGTGCCAGACTAGACCTTCCTAAGATCAGGAAAAACCCTCTTATTGAAATAATCTCCATCAATACTGGGTAAGATATATATATAAACTGTATATATTAAATAAGTATTCTTCCATTCAAAACAATTGGCAAACAACAACAAACTATCAAACTGTTCCGGTTTGAGTTCTACAATTTTACAACTCAAACACATTTGTACATTGTACATTGTACAATTCTCTTGCTTCTTTCCCACTCCTTTTTGACAGATCCAATCTATCCATTTAATATACTGATAAAAGCCCCCCAGACCATTTCAAATCATTCTTCTTTTTCAAAATGCAAGCTATCCTTCCAATTCCACAGCTATTAGGCTTTTCACATGAAGTCAGCAGATTGTAATTACCACCATGGTTTCACTCTCATAATCTCCCCTCCATATTTACGATTGATGAATATTTGATAACCTTAGCTTTTTTTCCACAAGAGCCATTTACTCTAGTTTGATGAATCTTATGAAACAGCATGACTGATGTTTACAGATACATAATATGGGGATACACTTTATGGGCTAATTTTATGTTGTTTACAGATATGTGCGCCTCCACTGACCTGTACTCTCTATAGGCTAGTTAAAAGGGTTACAGCAGACTAATTTCAGCCAGCTATAGGCCTCTGCTGATGATAATCCATCAATCATTGTCCCGGGACATCTTTAAGGTCCGTTGCGTTATTTTCCACTGAGCCAAGTTAAAGACACAGTGGCTCTTTTGTACAGAGCTATCGGTTACACGTTTGAACGAAAGCATTTTAGTTGGCAAACAGGCTCATGTTCTCATCGTCATGTATAATCGCAAGACATTACATGGCCATTATGTCTGCGTCTGGCCCTGTCTATTTAATGCACTACATTTTCTACCTTTAATTGGATTTCCCACTCGGGTTTTCTTTGGACTTTAGGGTAAAAAGCTGTGCTACTAATAAACTGCTTATTGTAATCTAGATTACTACAGATTTTGCCCATGGACATTGAATAATTAAATACATTTTTAACTTTGACACCTTATTACTAGGCGTGATACAGAGAGGGGCCTTTCACAATGTCTTCAATCTTCATCAACTTTGAAGATCTCTCTCCATTTCACACTAAAGCATCTTAGCCTACGGTAAAGATAAGCTTCAAATCCAAAAAGTGTTTCACTAAACATTCAATTGCTCAGATTAACGTGCACTGTATGGAAAGGAACACAAAAGCAGATGTTAGATAAATTACAAACACAGCAAAAATGTTTCTCAATCACATCCTAAAGCTTACTTATTCATGAAAAACTCTGATGAAGAAGAAACTAATATTTCGACCCATGTTTTTGACGTCTCTTTATTTTGGGTCCCCGCCAGAAGAGCATCCTATTCCATGCAGTTGTTTTTGCCTTGGTTGGCTCTAGGCACTGCCAATCCTTTTGTTTGTCCTGCGTTAATATGAGGTCTTTTGAAGAGCAGCAGATTACGCAAATACTTTGACTGGTGGAACTGACTGTTGACAAATCTCCCAATAACGCTGCTTTGTTGAAAATAATCCTTGCTTAACGTGTTTTTACTGTGGATTGTCACTTGGGTTGCAAATATGGCAGGGGACATTCCCATGTGTCCACTTGTTTGTCTGTGTGTGTTCATGTTTTAGTGAATGCGTTCTTTGTATGGTTTTCTTCTGATGCTGCACTGACATCATTGGTGGCATTTATTAACAGAAGACCCTCTTGACACTTGAGCAGTTCCAAAAATGGCAGAAATCACACAATTTGTCCCTTTGTGTATATTTGTGGTAACGAGATTTTTAAATCCATATTTTCCCCATAAAGATAAAAACAAACACCTTTTCCTCAACAGGCAGTGAAAAACTGTAAATGTATCTTCACAAGTTCAGAATCAAAGTATCATTTATTTGGTGGTTGTTTTCAAGGGTAAAGCTGTTTAGAACTGTTGGAAAGGAAATATGACTGGAAATAATTGCATGTCTATGTTCCAGCCAGCATACTTTTATTTTTGAATAGACACTTCATTAGAATGTCTAGGCACTGACTGGTCATTTTTCATGTGCTCCCTCATTTGATAGAATGCCTGAAACAAATACTGTGTTCAACTCTATTTTTGTACACATAATAGTATTAGGGAAACCGGCTGGTATGTCCTGCCCAAGGCTCCTCTAATAGCAGCATCTCTCGGCGTATTTCTATAGATGTGTGTTTGACGCAGCAGCAAAAGCCCCTTTAGTGAATGCTCTTATTTGGGATGGTTGAGCATCATAAAAGGGGGATTTACAGGCGTAGAATGATAATGGGTCATTAAACTTCAGCATTTGCAACCGTTTGTTTGTTTGTGTGAACTCTTACCATGGAGGATGGAGTTTTTTTTTTATTGTTTTATTATTTATTTGTTGAGTGCTTGTTTGATGAAGCTGTTTGGAAGTTTTTAGGTCAAAAAATAAGTTTACATATGCAATTTGTGTTTTTCTAATGTGAGGGACATCTTTTGTTGGTTCAAAAGTTTATGGTTGCTTCATGCCTTCAGTCCTGTAATTTATGTATTGTATTGTGCTTTATTTTGTCTGATTTAAGTTGAAGCCAACATCTAAACTGTTGAGTCTGAAAGGAATTGGCTTTGAAAGAGTTTGTTCAGGCTTTGTGTAAAAAGAGTGTACAAAATTCTTGTGCTCCAAGTTGCTGGCCTCAAATATCCACAGAATTAAAGTCTAACCTTGGAGCGTGTGCAGTATTTTCTACCTTTGTCCAAATTCAATTCATGTCCCTTTTTCTGTGTATCACCTCCTGACTCGGATAGTAACATATTTATCTACTTGAAGGAAAGCCAATTTAATCTGACCATTGAGCATACTGAATAGAACTTGCTATTGTCTGGCGATTGAAGAGACTTTTAATACATCAAAACATAAATGACTTGACATCTGTACACAAGCCAAAACATAATACATTTTCTGTTTAAGGAATTGTTGAAAAGAGCGGCTTTTATAAGACCTTTTTTATCTAAGCCAAATCCTTGGGCTGTATATTCACGCCTCATCACTGTAACTATAGTGGTGACATGCGCTAACTGTGTAAACTGGTCTCTGGACTCAAAGGCTGTGTGATGAGTTTTAAATAAGTTTGTTTTCAGTCACAGCCCCGGGTCTTCCAGTCTTTGTTTTTCCTCCTATTTCTTAACGCTTTGCCAAAACATGATTGAAAAAACAGGGCTCATCAACTCGAGGTTTGCTCCCTGGGTAAATAACATTTGGGCCACACAATAGTACTGATAAATTGGTAACCAGTAGAGAAAAATTCCAAAGAATTGTTGTATATGTAGAGAAAAAAAACAAATATGGTTGTTCCCTATTGTTAAACTGGTTTTATAAGATTACCAGGTGACCATAAAACTATACATATTGAGATTTTTCAGTTCCAGAATATTGAATACATGTCATAAAACTGGAACAAAGCTTGCAGTAGTCCAAACAGTTAAATATTGCAGAATACATGAATTATACCGGTGAATTATTTTCGTGTGATAAGAAAGTGTATATATAAATACAAATCTAGTTGTACTTGACTTTTATGTTGTTTATTGCTGCTCAGTGATCCCATCTCATTTACTCATTCAGCGAACATGTATAGGCAGAACAAAGCAAAGTCAATGATGGTGCGTAGAGAGAGGAGTGCTCTGACACAAGGCTCTCTTATCGTGTCCATATACACGGATTTGAAGTTGCATCAATGCACTGTATACACACAGTGCCTTTTTATTTAGACTCTAACATGTCAACTCCACAACAGAATTCCCATTGCTTTCTTTCCATTTTATCCTCAACACAAACACGATCATATGCAGACAGCCACACACCTCTCTGTGCCACTGTGGCCTTCCTGCTGTTTATCAAATCTATGTATGGGTAGTTTTCAGCTCCACTGGTCTGTCCATATTGTTCCATTCCCTCTTTCCCACTGCTTAACACACAAAAAAACATGCCTCTATTGTGCATCCACACACATTTCAAACATGGATTTCTCCCACATTCTTGATGGGGGATTCTGCGTTGGCTACAGAAGCAAAAGATTGATGCATCACTTGGTCAAAATTAGATTGTGTCTCATTAAAAGACATTGCACTTTAGATCTCCAGTGTAAGTGAATTACCCTCTATGTATCTCTCAAACATGTGCCCACAATGACAAATGGACACAAATAATTCACAACAGATCTTCTTACATAAAGCCGTTTTTTTGTTTCTCAAATTGAAATTGAAATTGTATTTGAATACTTTGAATGCTTTTCAATTTATGTTACATATTTCAAAGACACAAAGACTATATTCACACAACAATTTGTTTTGACTAAAAACTACATAAAACCCTTGGGTCGGACCCAAAGGCCAGATTCAGAGGACCACAGTGGCCTAATCCCAGATGTATTACAACACATCAAGATTAAGAACTTGGCTGGGATCATAAACAGCCTCACCAGTCATTAAGGGCTTTCTATCTTTTAACCTATTTTCTTTATTGTTCTATTTTCAACTTCATATTCATTTTCATCCTCCACTTTGACTTTGTAATGACCTTATTTGTACAGTCGCAGGCTTAGCTCATGTTCAATCACATTCCGCATTGTCTATGTTTCCTCAACCATAAGACGAGGAGTATTAGCCGCGCTTTACAATTTGTTTAAAGTTGAGTTTAAGCTTTGTTTTCTATAATTGCGTCTCCAGGTCGGTACATAACAAATCCCCAAGAACACACGCTGCACAAAGTCGATGAACATTGGCTTGCTTCTATGTGCGCAGGGCATTTTTCTAATTAATGTCTAGACCCTAAATGCCTATTATTGAGAAAAGCCTCAAACTCGCTCTCAATCTATGCCTCTTAAGATGTTGAACAAGGGACCTTCTCCAAGGGGACCAAACAGTGCAGACTTATGTGTGTGTATATAGGCTCAACCTCCAGGCGGTCTTTTCTTTTACACTTCCAAGGCTGCGCCACACAACTATCCCTGTCTTACTCACACGCACAGTGACGCAAGGGACCAAAAAGGCCGACACTATTGATATTGATGAACTATACTGTTGTCAGGTACAACTGCTACCTCTGTGGTTTAATTAACTCTGCTAAACAAGGATGAGACAAAGCGAACTGCAAAGACAGAAGGACGTAGTGCTTCATTATGGCTTTACCTGAAAATGTATTCGATACATTGGCTAACTGGTACTTTTACATTGGCAATTTTTTATCTTCTCTTTTGTATCTTGGGTTCTTTGTTGTACATTATGAAATCCATATTGGGTTTATAATGTAAAATGCCAGATCAAGTCATCATTCAGATAAGGTATTATTCAAAACAATTTAAAAAACAAAAAAAGTTTGTTTGCACATATATCCTAAACAGGTGGATGACGGTGTCTCCCTTCAGTGATCACTTGTTTCTGAAGTTACTGTTCGTCAATGTATGGTGACTGAGTGGCATAAACCGCTAATACAATGTTGTGATACTGGACAAATAGTTGTACCAGATACTTGCATGTATTCACACACATAAATGACGCAGACACCACACACAAACACACACAGCACTCTGCACAAAACCGGCCGGGGCCACTGGTTGTCTCTTGAGATTAATGTCGATGTGATCCACTCAGCTGGGCCTGATCACATTAAGATGGATGGACCCCCTGGTGGTGCGTGTGTTTGTGTGGGCGCGCACGCGGGGGCCCCATCTGTCCGTGTTTTCTCCACACCGAGTTCCCGTGACCTAGCTGCCATCTTTAGTGCCCTCAGCCGGGATAGGCAATACCCTTAGAGGGGAAACATGGCCCAATAGATGGATAGATGGATGCTGTAAATTCCATTTTTGTATTCAGCTTTTCTTTTCCAGCGTAACATAAAAAATGCTCTGGGCCGTAGGTTGTATTTCACATTGATAATGAAGATATATATTGGAGAGGTGCAGTCTTCTGAGGGCAGTTATGGAGGAGAAAAAGAGGCATGTGTCATGTTTGTGGCTTGTAACAAAACATTTCATGTTTTTAAGTTCAAATTATTATAACGATGTTTAACAATATGTACAATCATTGCTCTTGAGCAGAATGTTTGATTAATGTCCCCTATATAGGTGAACACAATTTACAAATGGAGAAAACTTACAACGCTCCATGTTCCATGCACCCTTCTCTAAGGACACACTTTCTGTGTGTCCTTCTGACTAGATAAAAAAAACTCTCACTGTAATAATAGGAATAGAAATCTGAACTAACCTTTTATTTCACCAAACAATTACAATCATTTTGTGCACATTCATGTTTGTGCAACAATATGAAAATAAGGTGATTGGTCCTAAGTCAACTTAAGAGAGTAGTGACTAGAGCTATAATTGAAGCATCCATGTCTGTGACACAAGGGATGGAGAGTGTTGCGTTGGTGATACACGGGAGTTGTGTTAGGTTGTTGGGCCTGAGGGAGGGCAGTCTGTGCCGGCGTGAGGACCCTGTCTGTAATAATAGTCTTTTTTTTTTTTTTTTTTTTTTTTTCACAATGAGTGCTGAGGATTAAAATGGCGATATGTTGTATTTAGGAACCGCTTAAAACCAAAGTATAGTCCAATTCAAGAAATCTTGAAAACCTGAGACAATGAAAATTTCCTTATCACATCCTGTGACGAGAGCAACACTTAAAATCATACATTTCAATAAATTCATAAATGTATTTGAAAATAATGGATTGAAAAACTATGACTAGTAATAAATAAATAATGTTATTTGTACAATTTTTATATATATATATATATTTTTCATATTCCACTGAATATGTTTTGTCCCTATGTTTGTATTAATTCAGGTGTCTGAATGCCTGCACATACTGTAAGACGAAACATGCCAGAGGAGACCTCGCCAGTTACTCTGTAGAAGAGCTGGTAGAAAGAGCAAGGCAGTCATTTCAAGGTAAGTACATTGAGAGTGTATTTAGCTTTATATCAGTTTACACTATAACTAATTATTATTATAGACTTTGGTCAATAGACCTATTACATAAATGGAGCCCTTCATGACATTACTTGAACAATTAATAATACCTAAAATAAATGATTTTGACTCAGTAGAGGAACTTGCACATATGGTTCCCCGCTGGCCTGCACTTCCACAAACTCTTCCCCACACTGTAGCGCTGTGTCAACAGTGCACTTTCTTACATGTTTCAATCAAAAAAGTAAAGTGTATTTGTTCTCTGTATTCTAAAGCGCTTTGTAACTGGTCTGTGAAAGGCGCAATATAAATAAAGAGGACTTACTTACTCCATGCAGCCTTGACTGCACATCAACATGCAGCAATTGTTTTACACACATCAAGGCACACATAAAAGCCCCTGCACACACACACACAAACTCACCTAACACCAAGTACTCCATGTCTTCAGTTTTCCTTAGTCTGTGCTCCACATCTCCACTTTGCAGTCTCCCTGCCATCACATTGGTTGTAAATTCCAAAGCATAATTACGCACTGATATAGGGCATTATTCCTCTTAAATGTTTGCTTTTTCTTTGCCCTGATATTAACATTGGCTGGCGTAGCTCCTGTGATGACCTCATTCTGACGCAATGTTGATTCATGCACTGGTTAAATATAAGATAAAAGGTCAATAATGATCAATAATTTAGTCGCTAGAAGATGACGTGTCACGATGATGAAAACGATGAAACTACGAATAAAACATTATTTACACAAAAGAATGAGCGGAAAACATTATAATATACCTTAGCATGTCAAAGTTGTGACCTCTCTCTCTCTTTAAAACCATATGATCAAATCTGATTTTTGATCAGTGGATCGGATCCCTTTAAAATACCACACTACCTCAGGCATCTGACCAGTTTAGAATGATAGAGAGGCAAATGCAGTTCCACCTTTCTATTATGTGTAAACTAGGGCTGAAACAACTAATCGATTAATCGACGACTAATCGATTATTGAAATAGTCGACAACTATTTTAGTAATCGATTAATCGTTTTCTGGTTCACACGGACTCAAACAGAGCAAAAATGACATGAAAATGTAGTATTTTTGATTAAAACCGTTATAACCATTATAATTTCATGAATATCTGTCTGTCTCATCCAATCAGATAGCAGAATTAGCACAAAGAGCCTGTTACAAACATTTACTTTAAGTTTACGCCATCAATACGTCCTCGAGTGTTGCCACTTTAGCTTTTTGTGATGAAAAAATATTTGTTTTCTACACAATTCACAGCCAAGCGATTATTCGATTAATCGTAAAAATAATCGATAGATTAATCGATTACAAAATAATCGTTAGTTGCAGCTCTAGTGTAAACCTAGATAACATTATTAGCAGAAGTTTTTAGTTCCATCCACCTGATTTAAAAATCTTGGCATTTCTTGAGTTTCTATTTTACCATTTATTGTCCATTATCTACCTGCAGTGTTGTTCCAGTTCACAGCTTTTCTGAACTAGTTCAAGTTCAGTTCATACATGCTCAAAGTGAACAGTTCACGTTCAAAGTTCACATTTTTAATTCTGAACTAGTTCAAAGTTCAGTTCATTTGACTTTTTTCGTGAGATACTTAAATACATATGTTTTTCACACTACGAGCTATATATATATATATATAATCTCCTGTACACCCACAGGAGGAGAGCCTTTTGACTACAAAACAGACAAGATTTACATGGTTTTCAAAGGGAGCATAACGGAGTTGCCCCATCTCTGCTCATAAACTACAGACAGTAATGCGCTGCAGTGTGTGTGTCTATACTTTATGTCAAATGTAAACGGTGTAAACTTTGTCGCTAACTCACCCTGTGTTTTCATCACGACTCGGGCACATGTGAAAAGCAGTAGCTCACAGCGCCGCACCGCAACACGGAGTCGGGGTGCGTTCACAGACGGTGGAAACCGTAGGAATTGTTAGATTTCGGCGGAAAAAGTGCGAGAATACAGGAGGGAGGAACTTTCTCTCGTTGCGTTTCAAAAGAGAAAACCGATTCCAACGTTCATAGTGATGTCTGCCGTTCATGACACATAAAATGAACTAATTCACGTTCAAGTTCTTTTTTTAAAAATGTGTTGCGTTCAGTTCAACGTTCACGAAAAAATGAGCGTGTTCAATGCACGCGTTCTTTTGAACTCGTTCACGCACAACACTGTCTACCTGCCCATTATGAGTGTAACAAAACATTGCACCACCATGCATCACAATTAGGGATGTCCTGATCCAGTTTTTTTTTTTTTATCTCGATCTAATACCAATAGTCACCAAGATACCAATCATAATTTGTTGCTTTTATGATTATTTGCACATATGCCATGCAAGTTAATTCCAATTAATTAAAACGAGACAACTTAAAATCAAGCCTTATTATATTTCATTTGTTTATTTTTATAAAATCACCAAATTATCTTTTAAAATCCTACCCTTCAGCTTCATTATTTGCTCTTTCACAGATCCGTTTTAGCATTTGCTTCATTTTCAGACATAGTTTATATGGGGCCTTTTAAAAAGACGCCTTTCCAAGCACATGGCTAATATTTGTAAAGAAGTCCCATGAGATTGCAGAGGTAAAACTAATGCTGTCATTAATAATGTCTGCCTTTCGAGTGAGAAAGTCGCTTAATAGCAAAAGGCAGCGCAAACACACAAATGGACACATGACGAACATGGATTTAGAGGTACTGGGACAAAGCACATGAACAGATGCATGTACCAGTGAGGACTCTTTTTATTTGTGGTCAATTAGTATTTTTATTGTTAAAACAAATATTTTTTACATGATCTTACAAGTGGGCTGTTCAAGGCATTGGGTTTAATAGCACATGTTGATGTTTTGTTCCTGAGAAGAGGGTCCAGCCAGTTGGCTTTAGATGGGTGCCAAATGAACAGCTGTCTTGCCCTGGCATCTGTTCCTTAAGAATAGACTCCCAGCATCCCCTCTGCTCAGCAGGCCATGCCTCTGTTAAAGCCCTGGGCGGGGGTCAGTCAAGGGCAGGCTTATGCACAGATAAGACACATCCCATTTCAATATTCTATTGCAATTTTTTGACATTGTGCCAAAGAGACTTGTTTGCATAGAAAATCACCTTTCAATATAATATGTTGATTTAAATTTCAGAGAAAATGTTTACTCTCGTTCAGCCAAGAGGTCAACACAACAATGATGCAACTCACTAGATACAAACATGTATCTGCAGAACAGCTGTCCTAGGACTGTGCTACAACACAGCTGTTGTAGAAGACTTGGACTAGTCAAAGACTTGGACTTGGACTAAAGAAAACACTGTCTGATTAGTTTAAGTTGGGTACATTTAGTCCAAAATAATTTTGAATTACAGGACCCCTCGTTTGGATAAAATCAGATAGATGTCAATATCTGTTACCTGGGAGATCCATCTTCATGAAGTCTCATGAAGGCAGTAAAACACTGTTGTTGTAACATCACATACCGTTTTTAAAAAAAAGATAAACTTTAGGCATTTAGTGAGAAAAAAGTGGTATCGACCTAAAAAAATAGACTGTTGATCTAAAGTCAGGCACAATCCTGTAAAGGAAATCCAATGTCCCCATGGTCTTCTTGCTGCGATGCCCTGAGTGCTACCCACTCTGTCACTGTGTCTTTCTGCACCTTCATTGCTCACTGCTTTTATATGGGAGATACAAGAATGGGATTATCTCTCACAATTTAAATCAATTTATCAAAGCTTGATTAGAGTGCCAGGTACCTATGTACCCAAAATGTGATGGCAGTACTGGCCTGGATTAAAAAAACAGCCTATCATTTGTATTAGACATGTATTTTTGTGTGCTCACTATCTTTATATCATCTCTGATGATAATTACTGGCCCTCCACTACAGACTCAATTGTATTACTTGTAAAAATACCTGAAAATGCCTATTTAGTCCCTATTAAGTTACTGACCTTTTTTTTTTTTTTTTTTGGATGACAGCCATACATTTTTATTTAAAAAAACAAAGTTGTGAATTAGGTCTTGTGGTGGGCTCGAACCCACGACCTTCAGGCTCTAAGGCCAATGCTCCACCAACTGAACCACTGTCGCCCCACTGAGCCACCGTCGCTCCAAGTATTTTTAATCGGACAACCAAATGTGTAACAATAAGTTTTTTCTCCAGGGGCATCACTTAAGATAAGATAAGATGTGCTTTATTTATCTCACATAAGGGAAATTTACATGAGCTTTGTTTTGGTCGAATGTGTAAAAATCACATTCACTGACCTTTTTAGGATCTAAACAAGTAATCGATTAATAGAAAGAATAATTTGCCTATCTATTATTATTGAAAATAATTGTTAATTTAAGCCGCAAGCGGCGATGAAAGCCCTCGCCACTCTTGCGACCGCCTCTTGGGCGCCAGTCCCATAAGCGTCATGCGGTGTACTTGCCAATGAATTTGCAGCCTGATTGGACCAGGATTATACACAAAATTTATTTAAAAGATCCAGTGCAGCCCAAGTGGTCTTCCGTGGGACATTTGTAGTGTATGCTCGTATGGATGTAAAGATTTGATCCTGTGACTTTGGTGCAGATTGGAACAGGTTTAGGTTCGAGGCCTCCAATACGTGGCGCTCTAGAGTTCATATAAGATGGACGAACTTTATTAATCTCACTATGGAAAAAATGTACATGTCACATTTGGCATAAATAGAATCACTCAGATTGTGCAAAAAACAGAATTGTGCAAACATGTTTAGGTAAAAAAAATAGTCTGTGCAGGATATATTATGTACAATAAAAAGTGGCAATAGCAGTGCCGTTTTGTTCAGTCTTGGTGCAGGTCATTAGATTCAGATTCATTTGTGACTTAAAGTGACGTATTGTACAGTCTGACAGTGGTGGAGATGAAGGCCCTGTTGTAGCGCTCATTCTTACACTGGGGGTGTCTCAGTCTTCCACTGAAGGAGCTCCT